TGTGGCCGTACACACACTTTATGGAGGGATAAGAGGAACTCCGGCCTCCTGGACCCTATTGCATGTAGAAACTGATATAGGGCTACAGATGCTTTCTTCAGAGCATCCCGACACTGGACAGTAGGAAGGAATTTTGAGGTCATACTCACTCCTATGTCTTGCGTAGAGGTCACTGGGGCAATTTTGACCTGCTGTCCAGGTGGCCCTAAGCATTTCTTACCATGGTGCCCTCCTTCTCTAGTGAGGTGCTGGCAATCACGGGCATTTTAGAGGAAGATCCCATACCTTCGACGTATCTAAGTCTCCCTTCATAGACTCACTTGGACTGGACCGGACGATTTTCACATCGTCAGCAAACTTGAAGCAGGAGTTTTCGAGGTCCCTGCTAAGGTCATTTATGTATGGCGGAAAGAGGAGTGGGCCTAGGACAGTCACCTGAGGGACCTCACTATGAACCATTCCTCTTTGTAACCTGTATTCTGCTACACTAACTTCGAAATTCCGGCCTATCATGCATTTCTTGATCCACTCCATCACCCCATGGGTGATTCTAGACCAGCTTAGTTTCAGTAAGAGCAGCCCGGTGGTTCACCGAGTCGAAGGCCTTGGCGAAGTCGAGGTAGCAAACTTTTACCCGTTCCCCTCGATCAATGCGCCTTGCCACTTCGCCTAAGAAGCAAAGCAGGTTGGACAGGCATGACCGTTTCCTGACGAAACCGTGTTGATCTGCGGTGAGCAGACCACTAACGACGAGATGGTGGGCGCATAGGATTCTCTCCATCACTTTTAGTACCACTGAGATCCGACTCACTGGTCGGTAAGTTGAGCACAATTCCTTATCTCCCCCTTGTGGATTGGGACAACTGCCAATCCTCTGGCAGTCCACCTGTATCTAAGGCGGCGTTGAAGAGGTTGCTCAGGGGGACAGCTAGCCGTCTCGCTAGCGGTTTCAGTACAGCTGGGTGAATCCCCTTAGGGCCTGCAGCCTTTGTGGCTACTAGTCCTTTGAGAGTATGTTGGACTTCGTCGACACTTGTGGGGTTCTCACCCATGGGCGTGGAAGGATGCTCTGTTGCCCCTTACTGTCCCGGTGCTCCTGGATCTTCCCGGTATACCTGCTGAAAGCAGCAGAATAATAACCCCGCTTTTCTGGTTGCTGTCGTTTCTCTTTCCCCTGTGCGTTAATAACGCACCCTACTTCTCATCGGAGCCGGGCTTTGGATTGCACGTAGTTGAAGTATGATTTCGGGTTCCTCCGTGAATTCCATGCCAGTCTCATCTGGTACGCCCGTCGACACTCGTTTGGGAAGCGAGTTGCTCGTTGGCGTTCCGCCTTGTAGTGCAACAGAGATCTGTGTACTCTGTTCTGCAGGTAGCGTCTCCAAGCTGTCCCTTGGCATCTGAGCGCTCGCTCTAGACAAGCCCCCCACTACGGGGGCGTCCCATGCCTCCTAACCCATTTGAGGGGTACCACCTGATATTACCACCGGATATTACTTTTTACCAGAGCCCATTTGTCGGCTATCGGGTCGAACTCCCCCTCTAACATCCAATGAAGCCTTTCAGCCCTGTCTGGGTTTATTCGATGCCATTGGCGTCGATATTTATCGAATACGGGTTGCCCCCCCCAGACTCATGCGGAACTTGAGGAACCCGTGATTGTTCTTACCAACGGGTTCCGGGATCTCTAGACTCTCAATCTCTGACATGAACCTGGTTATAACAAGGTCAAGGATCGATGGGGTTTGCCCTTCTCTCCAGTGCGTTTGTTGTTTGACATGCTAGACCAGAGTTTTTTCTCGTACCATACCTACCAGGTGCCTCTTATGGAAGCACCGTCCTCCCAGTTAGCCTCAGGGGCATTAAAGTCCCCCAACAGTAGTGTGCTCCGATGGGATTCTGCTAACTCCCGGAGGAGAGCCACCATCTTCACTGCGTGAGGATGTAGGGCTGCGGTAACAGCACATGATGGCTATTTCCCTGTGGGGCAATTTTACTATGGTCGTCACCACCTGGAAGTTAGGAGTGAACATCCGCGGCCGATCATATTGTTCACAGTGCTGTCCCACTAACAGCAGGGCACCACCGACAGCTCTACCATCCTGCCGATCATCCCTGCTTTCAATGTAGCCTGTGAGACACTGGGTTGTTATGCTCTCCTCGGGTCGTAGCCACGCTTCAGTGACTGCAATCACATCTGCTCCCTGAGAGCGCACCTTAAGATCAGTCCACCTGCTCCTCATACTCGCTGCATTAGTATGCACGACAAGTAACCCCAAACCCTCCTGGATATGCGCCCAAACAGGGAAGTTGTGTTGTCGCTCGGAATCTAGGTCTGAGCACCCCGACCGTTTTCTTGTTCGGAGGGCTTTGCCTTTTTCTTCCACTTCGATGTGGGACCCTTTTCTGTTCGGTACCCTCGAGTTTTTCTGGGGCTTTTGAGCCTGCCAGGGATGTGTCCACGGCTAGTGGGTAACGGACTCTTATCTGGACGCACCTTTGAAAAGCGCCTCTCAGGCGACCCTTGTATCCTTCCTACCAACAGTAGTGGATGCCTTAGTGTCCCTGTTATATAGCCCCGTGTCTTGGGTTGGTGAACTCAACCAAGACTGGTCTGGGTTCACTTTCCCTGCTGCTACCAGCCTGCTATTTTCCTAGACACAATATCCTTTTGATAACCACATGGCCTGGCAAGTTGGCACACCTAATTAGGTTCACCAGATGATATCTCATGGCTCGGTCCCTCATGCACACTTCCTTCATGAAGGGTTCAGGAATGCCTCTGACAAAAACATTCCTGTGCCTTCCCGAGGCCAATTCACTTGTCCGCTGGAGCTCGGACAAGGTTTAGGCTATATTTTGGAATTCTCTCTCCAAAGCTGACACCTTATCCTTCATGGCTTCTAATCCCTTATCTTGCTCGACAGTTTGCTGCTGTTGGTTTGCCATTTTGTCTTCAGCACCTATGGGCTTCCTGTTTTTCTTCTTGTTTTCGTTCTCTATAGGCTCAACTGCCGTATTTGGCCTATTCACCGACTCCCTTGGTTGTTAATAGTTCCCTCCTCCTCGGTGGGGGGTCACCCTCGCAGTTAGGAGGTAACACTTCAGTGCTTGATTGCTCCCTCGCCTTTACACTCCTCAGGGATTCTTCCTGTCGGTCATTTATCTCTGCCGGTTCTACCGCTACTTGCCTCTCTGTGACCCTTATCCTGTGTATTACCTCCCTGCATGCCAGGCAGACCCAGATCAGCCTCTAATGCTCACAGTAATTTTTATTTAGATCTTGTGGGAGTTTCCCTCAATCCTGATGAAAGCATGCGTAGCAAGTTTCACATTGGATCCCATTGGCTACCTGTCCTCTTGAGCATTGGGAGTTGCCACAGCGGTCTGCTCTCTTAGACATGCGAGTAGCTGCCCGTTTCGTAGGATGTTTTCGTGAAGCGCCGTTTGTAAATTCCAAAACGACTCGTTCTCGCTGGACCGTAGACCGAATGTAATCGACTATCCTGCAATCGTTCTGTATTGCGTCAATGAGACCGTTGAGCAACGCGTAGCGAAATGCAAACCCCGATGTTAGAACGATATTGATCCGCAATGCGTACGGTACCGTTTATTTCATTAGGCGAGTCAAAGAACAACGTACCTCAACAATGCGGCTCAGTCGCTATGCAGCCAAAAATGTGAGTTCAAAAAATGGGTAGAAACCTGATATAAAGACAAGTAAATAAATATACAAAGAGGAAACATAAATACCTATTAGGTCAAGCAAGGGATTCTGTTCACGAAACGTGAACAGCCAGTGATCGGAGTCAGGTATGCACTCACAAAGAGCAAGACAATGACTGGGGCCACAGGGCCAATGACGGGGCATATAAGGGCTGGGGCGGCTCTGGGGCAATAACACACCAGAGCCACGTTATAGCAGAGGACAATGACATTGGTGGGATCGATAGGTAAACACACAAGGTCACTGGACACGAGAATCCGTCGTCAAACAACCATAGACAATGAATAACATGAGGGATCACGCAGTGATCAAAGTCAAATCAAGAGTGACTGAAAAGAACGTGTGCACACATGATCGGAAAGGGGTAATTGGGAGGGGGAACAACAGTGGTCTTGCTTTGGACCGAGAAGAGGGGTTTTCTTCCCTCTGTGGTTTCTACACCGCCCGTCAAAATCTCTCCAGGTCCAATCGAGCCCCTCTTTCAGTTAAGCAGTCATGGATCTCCCCACTTACTTAACCCTCAAAACAGTGGAGCTAACAGGACTTACAGCAGTACGCCTGCTCGCTCCCTACCCGTGAGGAACACAGGACTAACAGCAGTACCTCTGCATACCTCCTAGCCTTCTCCCGGGGCTAGTCGGCACCCTCTAGTAGACATATCTTGCGGATGTCGCGTCGAAGAGTGCCAGGTTTCATGCGCACGGTCAAAGTACGGACTGATCCATCCCTGTCCACTTCGCAGCTCTCTACAATTCCCATTGGCCATTTTTCACGTCTTGGACAATCTGTAGATACGAGCACCACGTCTCCTTTTTGAAAGTTCCGACACTTGTTAAGCCACTTTTGACGAGCTTGTAATATCGGCAAGTACTCTTTTAACCATCGGCTCCAGAAAACCTTAGCCAAGTAATTTATCTGTCTCCGTCTCCTCGAATATCGGTCCTGAATGTTTTTCTCCAGTAGACAGACCCTCACCACCTTGCAGCAGTAACAAGCTGTTGGGTTTCAGCGCTGTTTTCGCCTTTACCAGAGACTATCGGCACGATAGGCTGACCGTTCAGAATTCTCTTGACTTCGATGAAATATATACTCAATGTTTCGTCCGTCAGTCTTTGTTCAGTAATCACAGCCATAAGCAATCGTCGGACGGAGCGTATAATTCTTTCCCACACACCACCTCGATGACTACAGTAGGGAGGATTGAAGTGCCATTGAATCCCATGGACTAACAAACGATCATTTATCTTTCTATCTTCCCATTGTTTCCTTCGTCCTCTCAGCTCTGACACCGCACCCGCGAAGTTAGTTCCATTGTCACTATATACCTCTACCGGTGTTTCTCAGCGACCGACAAACCTCAAAAGAGCCATCATAAATGAATCTGTATCAAGAGTAGTTGCTATTTCCAGGTGCACTGCACGTGTCTGTAGACAAGTGAACAGACTGCCATATATTTTGTCCGTACCCCTACCTCTGCTTACGAAGCAGCGGCACAAGCCTTCGTAGAGAGTTGGATAGCTAGCTCCGGTTGTCCTGCAGTATTTACAACCGATCGAGGTTCTCACTTCGAGGGTGTTTTCATACAACTNCCTAAGCAACTAGGCATTCGCTGCGTTCAGACGACCGCTTACCATCCGGCAGCCAACGGGATGGTCGAGCGTTTTCCTCGATAACTGAAAAGTGCTCTGGCAGCACAGACGAACCCAAACTGCAAAGAGTCTCCACCCTTAGTCCTCTTAGGTTACAGATCAACTTTCAAAGCTGATCCTCAGTCCACACCGGCAAAGTTGACTTCCGCTAGCACATCACGTCTTCCAGGAGAAATGGTGGCACCGACCCCACCAACTGACTTCGACTACGGTGAGTATGCAGATCGTTTAGTACATCGTATGCGCCAGTTGAGTACTCAACCACCTAGCCAGCAAACACCACTAGCCCACCTCCCACAAAGATTAGCCGAAAGCACGCACGTTTTCCTCGGGGAAGAGGTTCGCGCACCAGTGCAATCTTAATACATCGACCCACATAAGGTACTGCGACGCTTAGAGAAAGCCTATGTAATAGAGCACAACATTAAATGTATTGACCGACCAAAACCTGCCCATTAGGAGGAAACTGGCCGTTCCACTAATCACCCCCTACCCGTTACGCCACCGGTAACTCCCGTCCCAACAAGTCCGGCTGTCTCCACTCGGTAAACACCGCGACACCCTTGGAGTAGGCACCTGATTCCAACCCACCCCATCGGATCACTAGCCACGAGAGAGTCCTTAATTTATCTGTACTTTTTGCACTGCAACAGGTTTTTACACTTAGCAGCGCAAAAAACATTTAATCTGAGATACAGCTAATTATTCTTTTACCTGAGTATCCATATATGCATGCCAAAAACCAAAACCAGAAAAAAACAAAATTCTTTTGTCATCGTTTTTATTATTATGTTTTTCCATCATGATTTACGTTTTCTTTTCTCTATGCATATATACACATTAAAAAAACCCAAAAATCCTTGCCCTTTTTGTATTGTGTCTATCGCCGCCTCACCGATCAGCTCCAACAAGGGCTGCTTCGACCTTTTTTCTTCCGTTCTCTTCCAGGCTCTGCATTCAAAAACTCTAAAAGAAATCTTCAGCCAAGAAAAGGCAGAGAACTCAAAATCCGTGAGGAAAACTTCGACCAGGATAACGTAGCAAGAAAGAAGGTTGGCACGTTCCCCACCCTTCCCACTCCTCCAGCACAAAAAGGGTATCGATGAACATTTTCTGACAGCTCCGAAAGATTTTACTGGCTTGTGCCCAGCTGCGACGGTCCTCCTATTTTCTATAAAGACAAACAAAAACGGGTCAGGTAGCGAAAGGACGACGGACCTGCAGACGATTTTCCATGACATTTTCATTAAACCACATTTCTTCTGTGGGCCAGCAACCCCTGTCACTTCACCTGGAACTATTTTGACAGCTGATTCCCAATATTTCCGTGGCAACATCTTAAGCGATAATATTCTCCGGACTTGCAAACTACAGCAAACAATACATGCACCCTTATCGAAAGCTCTCCCCAGCCTTCTGGGGGGAGGGAGCTCTGTAGTGGCCAACCAAAACTCATTCTACATGTACCCATCCTCCTGTGAATCTCATTGTTTTATGACACCAAGGCCACTTCTTTGGTCAGCAACTGATTGCTTTCACTTTCCGCACGCT